AATATACCTTCCCAGTGAACTCCTGTTGAACTTCTTTGAACTTCGAAATGGTGTAAACTGATTGAAATTGCTTTTCCATTTCAAAAGTTGTTGCACATGGCACCATTTCAGAATATGACTTGAAATCAGCTTGAAACTCCTTCTCAACCTTATTTCTTAGTGCTCTTTCATACTGTTCTACAAACTGCTTCAATGAGGTCTTCGAATGCACATACCTATAAAAAAATGCATTCATACTCTCACTTCGTTGGGTCTTCGACATGCCAGCCCAAAATGTGGTTCGCAAAAAACAAGGCACCCAACGACCTCTATTCTCGTACAAACCTGATAACCAATCATTATCATGCAAGTTATACGTATCGAGCATAAACCTCCATCCTTCTTCGAATTCCTCAACAGTATCCGAATCATATACCAATCCATGTATAGCAGAAAATATCGAGCTTTTATGAACGTGGTATCCAAACTTTTCTGGCAACTTTTTCATAATGTGCCACAAACACCTTCTATGCTTCGTGTTTGGAAACACAGTTTCAATTGCATTTTGCATTGCCCGGTCTTGATCAGTAATGATTCCATTAGGAGCTTCACCATGCATGCACTCAAGCCATGTTCTAAACAGCCACACAAAAGTCCCCGTGTCCTCATTTGATAACAATCCACAGCCTAGCAGTGTAGATTGTCCATGATGATTCACACCAACAAAAGGAGCGAATGGCATGTCGTACTTATTAGTGAGATACGTAGTATCAAAAGTGACAACATCACCGAACTCCTTATAAGATTGCCTGCATCTGTTATCTGCCCAAAAAACATTCCTTAGCCGTGATTGATCATCTAAGTCCATACTAAAATAAAATCCCGAGCACCGTGCTTGCATCTTTGAAAAGTACGCCTGTATTGCAATGGCATCTCCTTCTCCAAGGCGTAATCGTCTCACTTGTTCAATGTAGTTCCGACAATCTTTTTCCACAAAAGTCGTATTCTCATATCCACCTGCTTCCACGACTGCGGAGTTGTAACTTTTGTGTAAGGGGATTCCTGCCATATCATTCACTTCAAGATTTCTTTTCACAGTCGCACTCAATTTCCGATTGCATCGATACAACCTAGATTTTGAAGGACTTGTTTTATGATTGTGATCTAGGTACACCTTATTAATTCTCCATCTTCCAAGTCAATCTAAAGATGCAGATATTCTTGCTTTGCAATTTGTCTGACTTGTTGGTTGCGGCTTTAAGGAGCCGCCTGTAGCAAATGTTCTTCGACCTTCACGACCACATGTAAATGTCACATACCTCATAACTCCATCGTCCCCTTTTTTCGAATTCCTTTTTCTCACTGGGAAGTCTACATCATAAGCATATCTTTTGTAGAAGTCCAACATTTTGTTCTCATCAGTAAACATCATACCAACCTCAGGCACAGTAGCGCCATCTCTTCCTACATTTTCATTGTCCAATATGTTCAAATTGTTCACAGCGTTCTCGTTATCACAGTCCAGCAACAATTCGTCATTCTCATCTTCTATAATTTCTTTTCCTGAATAGAATAAAAAGGATTGATGTATAAATGTTAAGTATGTGAATAAAAAGTTATTTTACTATTTATAAAAATTGAAAACAAAGTGACTCAATCTTAATT